GGCTCCAACTTTGATTCATCTGCTGTTTATAAGAAGGTACAGGATCTGAAAATCTTGCCATCCAATACAGACCTAAGAGAATTTGGGAATGAGACAAACTCTGTCGTTTTCTTTTGTGGAACTAAACGAAATTCAATGCTGTGCGAAGTTTTTAAGGTCAACTCTTCTGATCCCAAACATGCTCACTTATGGAAGGTCCTTATTTACAACAGTGGCAATGGGTTAGAATATCACCCAGGATACCACTTTGGTCCAAGACAAAAATATTCACCAGTGGTGATATATGAAGGTCCTCCACTTCTTATCAATGAAAACTGGATTGAGGCCGCATTGGATTTTGGCTATTATGGAGAGTTTATCAACGATTTTTATCCCAAACTTTTGAGCGATTTCGATCGGTCCAATGCAACATATGACGTTTTTATCGATCCCAAAAGAACCGGAAAATGTGCTTTTTCCTCGTATCACGCATATTTTACATTTAAGCTCGGTGAGAGCGCATACAAAAAGATTTTTTCACTTGCATCGTTAAGTGGCCTGCAGCATTTTGCATCTGCGAGCTTTTCGCATATTATTTCAAAATCATATCTCTCCAAGCATGCGCTTTTCTTAGCTTTCCCATCGATTTTACTTCCTTTTTACCAAGTTATCTACCAAATAGTTAACGTGTTTCCTTTTAAGTTTGTGGCTACGCTGATAGTTTTAATCCAAAATTATTTAACTGAATGGGCGATAAGGTTTTTGGAGTTGATTCCATTTATATCAAAGGAAACACGCGAAAGCATGGGAAGCGTTAGCCAACACGCATTGGCATCTTATACCAATGCTTTGAACAAGATAGGAAAGTTTCACTTTTTGAGATGGAATGTTGATCTGGTTGATAAAATGTTTACATATGTGGCTGAAATTGGAAATGGTGTCTTTGGAACAAAAGAACATGTCTTTTTTGAGGATCTGAAAGTAGCTTATGATCAATTCCAAATTTTCAAGAAAAAAAATCGTTTCAACGCTGTTCCTGCACATATAGCAGATAATAGGGGCATAAGAGCCTCTTTTTCTGCTCCCTATTGGAAGCCTTTTTTGCTTGGGTCTCACGACAAATTATCTGCTAATGATACGTTTTACTGTGAGCTTCCAAATTTCGAGTATGCAGACGGTGTTTATGATCGTGGGAATTTCACCGAATTTTCAAACTCAATTTTGCGTTTTTTGAACAACGAAATCGCTTATCAGCCTTGCTTCATGGGCAAAGAGATCCCTTTAATTTCATATCTGGATTCGCTGACATTTCGCGTCATGCCAATGCTAGAAAATTTCGGGGCAGCTGATGTCGAAAAAATGGGCCTTCTTTATCTGTTTTTCACCAAAGTACTGAATTTATTGGACTATAAAAACGATGCGTTTATGTACCAAAAGGCTCTAATTTTAGTCGAGATTTTCAAAACCTACAAAGAAATATACACTCGCCACCTAAAGATCTCCTTGAATAACGATGAGAATAAGTTTAGGCTTCTTAATGATTCGTTTTTTGGAAAGTTATCGCCATTTTTTTCGTATTTTAATCACCTTGATGTTCTCGGAAGAAAATTACCAAGCTATGTTGAACCTATTAATTTTCGTGCTCGTGATAGTGAACTTACATCTAAATTGGTCGCTATATTGTTTAAAGATAATAGCTACCCTCTGAGTTTATCTCAAATGAAAAAATTTTTCAACACGAATCTGATGGATTACTGGATAAACGATGATTCTGATCCTGATCCACATCACACTGAAAGGGTAAAACATATCTTAACAGTAATTTTGAACCCTCTTGACCTTGAAAACCCTAACCAAGGTGTGCTTCCCAAAAGCTGCTTACTTGACCGACATTATTACAATCTTTTACACATGGTTTACGAAATATCAGATCATAGTGTCCATTCACGTGTTTTTTCACCAACAGGCTCATTTTATTTTAAAAATTACATTTATACCAAATGGAATTTGTATCTAAAAACAGATTGGTACAATAATGCTATCGAAATTGCATCACTAGCGTTGAAAGAAAAAAGACCGCTGGGCTTGATGAATTGGGGTCACAGATTTTCGTCTGTTTTTTATTTCTTAACTTATCTCCAAGAAGATTCTGCCTTTCTTTTATGTGACGCAGGAATGGAAATCATTTATAATTTCATTCTCAGACCATCGACATATACCGATGATGACTCGAAAAAGGCTCTACCTCTAGCTACCAAATATTTTTTGTCTCGGAAGGAGAAAATACTTGGAGAAGTTTTTATAAATGGCGACGACACGGAACTGTTTAAGCTTTTGGCAAATTACCAGATCATCCTCAATCGCTTGATGTCGATTCAGAAAAGAAATCTCGATATTAGCGATCTTGAGCATGTTTTCTTGGGCGAATATCAGCCGATTTTCGCCTTTCTCAAGCTTAATACGCTGATACTTGGGGAAAAGCTTTCCGAGTTGCCGAATAGCCATAACTTCTATTTGTCGGTGATATCGAATTTTGAGCTCATAAAGTCGTTTTTTTGCAAGGAAGAAATTCA